TGACATATCATGGAGTTGGCAGCCAATGTCACAAAACAATTTGTGTATTAACTGTTTAATGAGAAACTAATTTACTCTGTAAACTTTCACCTAAAGCACACACACACACACACACACACACACATACACACACACACACAAAATGGTGAAATTTGAAAAAAGTCTGTATTTTAGCTGTGTTATACTAATGTTAATTTCTAGTTTTCATAAATATACAATAGTTATGTAAGATCTTAAGAGGTGAGGTTGGGGGATAGGAAGGCAGCAGAGCTGCAGGGCCTGTGACGCTGCCATATTAAGCTTCATTGTAGTTATCCTTGGGTTAAGCAGACTTGCTTTTCTAAGAGATTACACAAACCATGGTATGGAGCCCAACAGAATATAAAAAAGAACAAAAGCTGCATAAGAGCAAAGATTTTGTCTAGAACAGTGCATGGCACAAAGCAGGTATTCAGAAAATACTTGTTGAATGTATGAATGAATATGTAGAACATATTGGAAGAGGGCAAGTGTCAGTGTGGGGAGACGTGGCAGGAGGCTATTGGTGTAATCCAGGCAAGAGTTGATGGTTCTCCAGCCTAAGGCAGGATTTACACAGGACCAAGGTTACATAGGGGAAGGAAATAGGTCTTGCCACAGGTAACATCTCTGCAACCAGCTCCCTAAGCCCCTTTTTCCCCCTCAACCTGCCCCCAAACCTGATCCTGCTGTTTTTCTCTTCTCCTGGGTACATCACGTTTCCTAACTCATTTGTTGCTACAGCAAGACACACAGCCCTTCTGAAATTCTCTGAGTGTTTTTATTGTTGGTAGCAATACAGAAAGACAGTTTTCTGTTTTTTCTTATGCATCTAACCACCCCACCCTCACACACACACACCTTGAAGGCTTGACAGATTCAAAGCCCTGTGGTAAGAGCCATAACCATTGTAGCAAAAAACTAATTTTAATGTTAATAATTACCACCTCTTACTATGTGCCAGCCATTGTACTCTTCTTTTAAATGATTATAAAAGTATTACATGTTTTCGTAGATTTGTGGAAAATACAGAAGAAATCACTGTGGCTAACATTTTGCTTCCAATTTTTCCCGTGTAATACAACGTGGATCTTATTGTTTATATTTATTCTACTAATTAAGGAGCTCTGGTGGAACAGTGGTTAAGCACTCAGCTGCTAGCAGAAAGGTCGGTGGTTCAAGTCTACCAGTCACTCTGTGAGACAAAGATGTGGTAGTCTACTTCTGTAAAGATTACAGCCTTAGAAACGCTATGGGGCAGTTCTACTCTGTCCTATAGAGTCACTATGAGTTAGAATTAACTCGATGGCACACAACAACAACGGTTATTTAAGGAAGAAAAATTCCCAAAAGAATGAAAATGTTACTACCTTCCTGAAAATATGTGTCCTCACTGGAATGACTTTAAGACAAGCAGGTAGACCGGAAATGTTTTTTAGATCCCATATAGAGTCAACATCTTAATAGAGCACGTGGCAGTTGTTTAGAAGCCAGAAAGTAATGTGATCTGGTTGGTGACTCCATAAGTTAGAAAGAATAGCTGGATAACAACAGAAGCCTTCAAATGCCCACTCAACAAATACTTACTATTTCCTACTTGCAAGGCACTGTGGGAAAACAGATGGTTGTAAGAAATACTTCCTACCTTTAGATTACAAGGTAGTAGGTAAGGTGACTCATTTACAGTTAGTATCTAAATGATTTATGTGTGTTGTTAAAAAAATAGCATAACAGAAAGAAGAGATCATTTCCAACTGATGTGATCAAGAAAGGTTTCTGGAGATCATGCTATCTGTGCTAAGCTTTAGTAGCATAATTTTGATATGCAGCAATGATATGAGGATAAAAGGCTTTTAAATTATGTTCTTCCATGTTAATTCAAATTCCATCTCGAAGCCTAATCCTCTGTTATGGATTGAATTGTGTCTCCCAAAAATATGTGTTGTAAATCCTAACTGCTATACCTGTGGTTATAATCCCATTTGGAATGGGTTTTCTTTGTTATGTTATGAGGCCATATCACTGTAGGATTCGTTTTAAGCCAATCACCTTTGAGATATAAAAAGAGCAGATTAGGACAAGCAAGCAAGCAGAGGCGGGGGAAGACAGATGCCAAGATACATGAAGATCACCAAGGAGCAAAGGAACACAGTGCCTACAACGCCGAAAAGAGTCAAGGACCTTTTCCCAGAGCCAAGAGAGACAATGCCTTCCCCTAGAGCTGGCGCCCTGAATTCAGACTTGTAGCCTTCTAGACTGTGACAAAATGTATTTCTGTTTGCTAAAGCCACACGCTTGTGGTCTTTCTATTATAGCAGCACTAGATAAAGGGAGCCCTGGTTGCGCACTGGTTAAGAGTTATGGCTGCTAATTCACCAGCCGCTCCTTGGAAACCCTATGGGGCAGTTCTACCCTGTCCTATAGGGTGGCTATGAGTCGGAATCGATTCCAGGCAACGGGTTAGATAACTAAGACACCCTCCTATCCTGCCTCTCTGGAAAACAAGTTGAATTTGATTCATTTTAATGCCCTAAATCTAGTGCCAACTTTGCCACTAACTCTATGTGACTTTTTTTTTTTTTTTATTGTACTTCAGGTGAAGGCTTACAGAACAAATAGTTTCTCATGAAACAGTAGTACACATATTGTTTTATGACATTGGTTAACAACCCCACGACATGTCAACCCTCTCCCTTCTTGACCTTCTTCTTTTTTTTTTTGGTGAAAATATACATAGCCAAAGATACACTGAAGATACATTTTAAAATGTCTACATGCACAGTTCAGTGACATCAACTACGCTCTTCCAATTGTGCTGCTATTCTCACTTTAGACGAAGGCTTACAGAATAAAATAGTTTCTCATTAAACAGTACACATGTTGCCCTATGACAATGGTTAACAACCTTACAACACATCAACACTATCCTTACTCAACCTTGGGTTCCCTATTACCAGCTTTCCTGTCCCCTTCTGCCTTCTGGCCCTTGTCACTGGACTGCTGTGTCTCGTTAGTCCCATTTGGTTTTATGGGGCTGTCCACTCCCCGGCTGAACGGTGAACCTCAGAAATGACTTCACCACTGAGCTAAAAGGGTGTCTGGGGGCCATACTCTCAGGGTTTCTCCAGTCTCCTTTAGGCCAGTAGATCTGGTCTTTTTTTTTTGTGAGTTAGAATTTTGTTCTACATCCTTCTCCAGCTCTGTCCAGAACTCTCTGTTGTGATCCCGGTCAGAGCAGTCAGGGGTGGTAGCCGGGCACCATCTAGCTGTACTTGTACTGGACTCAGTCTGGTGGAGGCCTTGGTAGCTGTGGACAGTTAGTCCTTCGGACTAATCTTTTCCTTGTATTCTGTTCTCTTCATTCTCCCTTGCTCCCGAAGGGATGAGACCAGTGGAGTATCTTAGATGGCTGATCACAGGCCGTCAAGACCCCAGACGCTACTCACCAAGGTAGAATGTAGAACATTGTCTTTATAAACTGTGTTATGCCAATTGAGCTAGATGTTCCCGGGGCCCATGGTCCCCACAGCCCTCCACCCAGCAATTCAGTCCCTCAGGGAGTTTGGATGTGTCTATGGAGCTTCCATGACCTTTCCTTGTGCAAGTTGTGCTGGTTTCCCCTGTATTGTGTACTGTCTCACCCTTCACCCAAGATACCACTTGTCTATTCAGTATTTCCCCCCCACCCCTCCCATCCCTGGTAACCAACAAAGATTGTTACATTTTGTGTGTGAACTTTTTCATGGGTTTTTACAATAGAGGTCTCATACAATATTTGTCCTTTTGTGACTGACTTATTTCACTCAGCATAACGTCCTCGTTTCATCCATGTTATGAGATGCTTCTAAATGTGACTTTTAAGGCATAAAATATGGGAGAACAGATTATTTTATACAACCTTTATTACTTCTAGCACTAGTGTGCAGTGGTTAAATAATTATTATTTACCTTTACTACCTTTATATCACACTATAAACAGATCCGTTTCATGGAGATGTTGGTAAACAATACCAAATTAAAATCTCAGTCTAATCAAAAGGGACATACCAGCAACAGGAATTAGTAATAAAAATGCTATTTGTAATCACTTCCAGTGTTTTTGACCTTGTATTATGATGTCTGCACAATGATGCTTCTAGGTTCTATTGTAACAGGCATTGCTTTGCAAGGTTCTCCAGCTATAAATAAATTCTGGAATCTGAAAAATTCCAGTAGCCATTTGGAGGTAGGGAGCAGGCCCTTTACATGCTCCCCTCACGACTCAACCCTAAATATGGGATTAAAATCAAAGTGATAGACCCTACAAGGCTTCTCTACCCTAGAACCCAAGCATCTACCGGTTCCATCTTCGAAAAATGTAAGGCTTCCCACTGAAACATGGATCAAAAAATTTCAAAGCACAGAGGTTCCTCCCCAGAGATAAGCCTTAGAAAAACTGGAGGAGACTTACAGCAATATACATTCCCGCGTAGGGTGTGCCATAGGCTTGTTAGATTTGAAAAAAAAAAAAAGCCTCCGCAGCACTTGGGGTCGTCATGAGTCGGAATGACTCGGGGGCAACTGGTTTTTTGTTTTGTTTTGTTTTTTAGTTAAGGTCCGCGGAACCTCAGGAGAGCGAGCTCGGTACACCGAGAGGTCAGAAGGTCCCATTCGTTCCAAGGCCACGAATCAGCGAAGGAACAATTTCCGCAGCCGCCCTCCCTTCGAGGCTTCCAACACTGCCTCACCACCAACGGGGTGTTTCTCGCCCGGCGTAGCGGGGTCCCTCGCAAGATCAACGGTAGCTCACCCACTACCCCCGAGCTCCCTAGCCTCCCAGTTCCGCAGCCGGCACCCGGGCCCCGCCTCCCGGGCTGCGGAAGCCCTGCCCCCGACGGCGCGGCGATCGCAGCGACCAGCTGCGGCGGAGGCATGAGGGGCAGGGGCGGGGCCGTGAGGGGAGGAGCCGCGGGGGTGTCCCCTGCTTTCGCGTCCGTGAGCCCTTCCGTGGAGGAAGAAGACCTGGGTGAGGACTCGCCCCGTGCGCCCGTGTCGTCGCCGCCGGAGAGCTGGGGCGCCTGTAGACCGCGGAGCTCTTGGCACAGCCGTCGCCAGCAGAACATGGCGCCGTGGACGTTCTGGCGCTGCTGCCAGCGAAGCGTGGGCTGGGTGCCGGTGATCTTCATCACCTTCGTGGTAGTCTGGTCCTACTACGCGTACGTGGTGGAACTGTGCGTGTGTAAGTATCAAGCGCCGCAGGGGCGGCTCGGCGAGTCCGGAGAGCGGCGGGGCCGGGGTAGCCTGGCCGGGGACGGTGGGAATGGAGGGTCGGGGGCCGCCTGACCGGGACGGTGGGAACGGGGGTCGGGGTCGTCTGGCTAAGGACGGTGGGAAGAGGGGTCTAAGGCGGCCTGGCCTGTACGGTGGGAACGGAGGGGGGGGTCTAGGGCTGCCTGGCCGGGGACGGTGGGGCCGGGGGTGCCGGATGGGCCGGGGGGGGCAGGGTGGCCGCGCTCCGGGAGGAAGACGGGGCCTCTGCGGTCCCGGCCGCTCCCGCCGCGGTTCTGTACCCAGCCCCGCCCCCGCCCCGCCCGCCGGCGGCAGCGCCTCTCGGGTCCGTGCTTGGTGGGCGTGTTGCCCTAGCGGCAGCCTGAGGTGCTCGCCCCCGGGGGCGTCGAGACCCGGTCTCTCCGGCAGACCTGAGGCCACTCGGCTCTCTCCCTTTGTTGAGCCCGCGCGGCTCCGGGCCTGCGGCGGCTGGGTGACGACCGCGGCGCCGCCTCCCGGCGCTTTCTCGGGCTCGGGATCTTAGAAGAGGGAGGCAATGATGGCTTCCTGGTGTCTGCGGTTATCAGCGAGGTTCCTCATTCTTCTGTGAAGGAATGTTCAGAAAGGTGTTTTCTTCGAACGGGAGGAGTCGAGCTTGGTAGAAAGTCCCCCCCACCCCCCAGTTGTATTTTTTTTGTAGGTTTTTTTTTTGGTTGGTTGGTTTTGTGCTGTTTATTTTTTAAAAAATAAATCTGTACCCTCTAGATTGTTTTTTTGTCCAAATAGCACTAAAAGAAACCCTTGATACCTGAAGAGCAGGCTTCGGGCGGTGGGGGACGTCTTCTGCCGTGGCCTCTTCTGCTGGAGGTAGTTTAGCCTGAGCCTACGAATGAGTGCCCAACAGTGATATTTGCTGGGTACTTGGGTACTTGACCCGTTTTAAAGTTCATTTCTTTACAGTTTGAATCCTGTAGCTTATACAAAGTGTTGTTTTAAGATAGAATGGGTGAAGCGATACATAGCCTGGTTATCTTTTTATTGGCTAATATGGAGATTTATGTTTCTTACACCTTCAGATTTGGGGTTCTGTCTTGTTTTCGTTACTTCCATTTCCCTGGTAAGTTTTTAGTACTCAATTCTTACCTAATTCTCAGAGGAAAAAAGCAGTAAGAATGCAGTACACTTGAAGAATTCAGGATACTGATTTGAATAAGTTGTCCTTAAGCTTGAAGTTGTCATTAATCAGCTACATTGTTTGGGGGCTACAACTACAATAAGGAGCCCTGGTGGTGCAATGGTTAAGTACTCCAGTGCTAACTGAAAGGTAGGCCGTTTGAACCCACCCAGTCACTCTTCTAGGAGAAAGACCTGCTCCTGTAAAGATTACAACCTTGGAAACCCTATGAGGCAGTTCTACTCTGTCATACGGGGTCACTGTGCGTCACAATAGACTTGATTCTGTCTAACAGCAACAACACTGTGTGATATTGTGCAAAGGTTGATATTGCCGCTAACCAAAAGGTTGGATGTTTGAGTCCACCCAGAGGCGCCTTGGAAGAAAGGCCCTAGCAATCTGCTTCCCCCAAAAATCTGTCACTGAAAACCCTTTGGAGCACAATTCTACTCTGACACGCGAGGGGTTGCCAGGAGTCAAAATCCACTACTTAAGTTACACAGCTGTTTTTGACATATGCTGGCTTCCACAGGGTTGTTCTGTCTGCTGTTGATGTTTTCTTGAAAACCTAGTACCTAGGGGTGTTTGTAAAAGCAATCCCTTGGTATCTCAGAAGATGTAGTCTTAGATCCTAGACTGAGTCCATAGTTACCTGGAGGACGGGTATTATATTATTCTTTCAAAAAATAGCTACATGAGGTAAATACTAAGTGTGTGAATGAAAGGGCACTATACCTCAGAATGGCAGAATCAAGACTTATTAAATTATTGGTTCTGGAATTATACAGATACTCAAATAAGTACTTGGTTAAAAAGCCAGAATTCTGTCCAGGGAAAAGAATGCTTTGCCCTAGAAGGTTTACAGTTAGGGTTTTTCTAAATTAAAATGTCCAGCTTTTCACTAAGAAAATTATTTTGCATTTATAGAATGCTTGCTTTTGAGGAAAACTATCCCTGTAGGTAAGCCCCTAATAAATTAGTTGTGAAATAAATTTCCAAACAATAATAGAGTTAATCTGTTGAATATAATTGTTTAATGTCTCTCTCTCTCTCTTTTTTTTTTTTTTGGATACGAAAATGTTTGCCAAAAGTTATATTTGTTTGAAGCAATTAGAATTGACTGAACAGATTGAAGTATTTCTTCAGGCCACTTCCAGAAAGTCATAGTGATATTTAGGACTCTCAGCCTCTGAGGATACTTTATCTTCTTATTTACTCTGAAGATTCATTCTGAAGTGGATATTTATTACAAAAGTTGTACCAGCCTTATTTAATTCTGTAGGACTTTTCACACGCTAATGTTAATTCTCAGTGGTTTTGAAGTAAAGCTTCTGAAGGAACATTAAAAATGTGCATTTATGTTAAGATTACACAGCATCACTTGTAGATGGTTTTTGTCAAAAATACTCAAAGGTGATGAGATCAAATAATGCTGTGGATAGTCTTAAATTGTTCCTGATTTCTTCCTTTTCTTCAAATAAAGAAAGGGAAATGAACGTGAATCAAGAAAGACCAATAGCGAACATTGATTGCAAAGTAGCACCCCCACCCCCTTTTTTATTTCTTAGGCATTTAGTCCTATAATTTCACCCATAAATACTGCTTTAGCCACATCCCATCAGTTTTGATATGTTGTGTTTTCATTTTCATTGAGTTCAAATATTTTCTAATTTCACTTTTTTAAAGTAATTTTTCGTTGTTGTTGAGAATATACATAGCAAAAACATACACCAATTCAGGTTTCTACATGTACAATTCAGTGATACTGATTACATTCTTCAAGTTGTACAACCATTCTCACTCTACTTTTCTGCTTTGTTCCTCCCCTGTTAACATAAACTCACTGCCCCCTAGGGTTCCTATCTAATCTTCCAAGTTGCTGTTGTCACTTTGATGCCATATAGATAATTCTTGAAAGAGCAGACTGCTCAAGGCAGACATTACTTACTAGTTAAGCTAAACTATTATTTGGTTTTAAGAAGATTTTGGGATATTTTTAGTTTAAGGTTTAAAGATAATCTTAGGGCGGTAGTTTCAGGGGTTCATCCAGCCTCCGTGGCTCCAGAAAAGCTAGATTCCATGAGAATTTGAAATTTTATTCTACGTTTTCCTTCTCTTAATCAGAATTCTTCTGTAGAATCTTTGATCAAAATGTTCAGTAATGGTAATGGGCACCATCCCGTACTTCTGGTCTAATGACAAAGGAGGCAGTCGTCCATGGAGGTAATTAGCCACAGATTTCATTTTCTTCTCCTATTCCTGACTCCTTCTCCCTCTGTTGCTCCAGGCAAATAGAGACCAATTATTGTGTCTTGGGTGACCCTCATTTCACTTTTGACTCCTTCTGTGACATATGAGTTTGGTTTTAGGTGCTGTCGTGTTGGTCCTGACTCATGGCAACCCTATGTACAAAAGAACGAAACTCTGCCTGGTCCTGTGCTATCCTTACAGTCGTTGCTATGTTTGAGCCCATTGTTGCAGCCACTGTGTCAATCCATCTTGTTGAGGGTCTTCCTCTTTTTCACTGATCCTCTACTTTACCAAGCATTATATCCTTCTCCAGGGACTGGTCCTCCTGATAACATGTCTAAAGTATGTGAGACAAAGTCTTGCTATCCTAACTTCTAACGAGCATTCTGGCTGTACTTCTTCAAAGACAGTCTTGTTTATTCTTCTGGCGGTCCATGGTATATTCAGTATTCTTCACCAACACCACAATTCGAATGTGTCCATTCTCCTTCAGTCTTCCCTTTGCATTGTCCAGCTTTCACATGCATATGAGGTGATTGAAAATACCATGGCTTGGGTGAGGCGCACCTTAGTCCTCAAAATGACATCTTTGCTTTTTAACATTTTAAAGAGGTCTTTTACAGCAGATTTCCCCAATGCAATATGCCATTTGATTTTTTGACTGCTGCTTCCATGGGCATTGATTATTGATCAGGGAAGAATGAAATACTTGACAGCTTCAGATTCTTCACCATTTATCATAATGTTGTTTATTGGTCCAGTTGTAAGGATTTTCATTTTCTTTATGCTCAGTTGTAGTCTTCTTTTTTAGCATAATGTTTTTGAGGTTCGTCTGTATTATAGCAAGTATCAGTATTTTTCCCCTTGTTCTCTACTTCACGTTCCAGTTTGTATTCTGTTTTTAAAATAAATTTATAGTTTTACTTAAGAATATACTTCTAGTATGCCTCCCAATCCTTTGTGCTTTGAATTAGAAAATAAACAAAAAGTATGCATTCATTATGTCATACTTATTTTAAGTACTCGAGTAATCCTCATTACAAAACTTACGGTGTAACTAGGTTCTATTCATCTTCTTATCTACTGGAGAGCCTCAAACTGGTACCTTTCAATTGCTGTGTGTTGAACTGAACAGAAATATACACTAATAAACTCAGTTGAATCACGTTTGAATATGTTAAAACAAACGTCCAGATTAATAGTGCTAATTAGATTACAATTACAAAACATACATTTCAACAGTTCTGGGAGTCGGGCTACAGAAATCGTGTATTGGTTCTGCAGTCTTTGTTTTGAATTATGAAACAATGATTCTTTGAAATTACACTGACATTGTTGTAAAAACAAAAACCTGCCTGTCCTAAATCTCATCCTCAAGGTTGACATAGAGAAACTTAAAGCATGAATTAGAATTAAAAACAAATAAAAACTTTGTGTTAGTTTTGTTATTTCCTAATCTGTTTTCAGGTGCTGAATTACAGTTATAAAAAAACCCATAGCTGTCAAGTCAATTCTGACTCATAGTGACCCTGTAGTACAGAGTAGAA